CCCCCGCCCCCCCCCCCCCCCCCGGACACAGTGCGGGTCCTGGCAGACCTGTCACAAGGGCATACTCTCAACCCAATCCCCCTTCCCTCTCCTCCCCTTTTCTTCCCCAGAGCCAAACACCTCCCCTCCCTACTGTACTCTTTCTGCCCCAGTCCCCTCTCTGCCCCAACCTTATGTCCCAGTCCCAACAGACACCACCGCTTGAGCCCCCCCCCCCCCCCCCGGACACAGTGCGGGTCCTGGCAGACCTGTCACAAGGGCATACTCTCAACCCAATCCCCCTTCCCTCTCCTCCCCTTTTCTTCCCCAGAGCCAAACACCTCCCCTCCCTACTGTACTCTTTCTGCCCCAGTCCCCTCTCTGCCCCAACCTTATGTCCCAGTCCCAACAGACACCACCGCTTGAAATGCAACCCCCACCTTTTCCATTATTTTCAATGGGAAAATTGACCCCGCATAACACGTTTTCACTTAACACGATCATTTTCTGAAACACATCTATAGTGTTAAATGAGGAATTACTGTACTTGCAATGTGCATCGCATATGCCTTAGTGCACATAATAAAATTTATTCTGCACATGGACATTACAAATTAGAAGGAACATTGCTGCTGATCCAAATAGCCTTGTTTTTATATCATAGAAGTCTAGGCTAAGATTTTGAAAAGCATCTGGGAATTTTTTGGAGTTGTCCCAACTTGAGGCATCCAAAATTCATGTATCTCACTTTAAAATCTTAGCCTTAGTTTTGGAATAGAAATGAACCCAAAATCTCCAAGAGAAACTGATCTGAAACTGATCTATTTTGCCTAGTTTATGGACTAGAATCTATATAACCGCTAAGCATAGCGCAAACTTAACCACAAATTAAAAGCTTGGGCCACTCTGTCTAAATTTACATCCATCTGGCCTGTATTACTGGCTACTAATTAAACTTGAATTGTAGCATATGTCTGAGTTAATGAGCTGCATTTATTACTTTTACATATATAAAACATTTACATTGGTTATTTCCTAATGCAATTGTAGTTTAAATAGAACTTAATAGTAACAAAGTTCTCTGATCAAAAAGCAAAGTGTATTTGCTCAGGGAAAAATTTATATCTTCTGTTATTTCCCCTCTCAAAAATGTTATGGCTAAAGAGCCCAAAGTTTCTTGTATTCCTCTAATGCAGAAAAATCCCCTCCAAAAAAAGTAATATTCAAGATGCTATGAATCAAATAGAGCCATTAAAACTGCCTAGGAAGGTTATTACTTACGTGCAGTAAGGTGGTTGGGTTTTTTTGCCATGTGGGAAAACAAAACTCAATTAAGGAATTTTTTTTATTGTTAAAAGTATTTTTAGTGCATTTGTGCATGTATTGCTTTAAGGAATCCTAAAGCAGCATCATGGAGTTGCCACAGCAGGTTCAACCTTCAGTCAAAGTAGGCAGCTTTCTTGCTTATTTGAGACAAGTGAAACAATCCTGTTGTCAAGTGAAATCAAATACATCCGACAGAATGCCTGGCTGCTGCTGAGTGAAAGACCTTATCCAGAAAATCCTTCTGCTGATGATACCATCAAATTTATTATAAGAGGTGAGTTACCTGTTTAGATACTCAGGAATATGAGTACATTTGGCTCCCACTTGAGGTGTTGTGAAGTAGGTGCAGACCAGTGTCCCTATAAGCTGAGAGCTTGGGAAGCCACCCAGGAGAGATTCAGGTGCTGCCCAACTGATTAGCAGAGTGCCCATAGCTGGCAGGTGGTGGTGCACACCCATACATGCCTTGGTGCATATAACAAAATTTATTCCGCACAATGATGGAAAAATTAGAGGAAACACTGCTGCAGACTGAACCTTGAGGCAACCAAAACTGGGCTCTTCAGTTTGTAGGCGTGTTGGCAGACAAATCTTGCCAGGGAGACGTCCAGGTTGCTCAGTGACGGTGGCAAACAAATGTTGGAATGCTACACACATATCATCCCCGGGTCTTGAATTCCAGAATCTTTGTGGAACCTGGGGGTGGTCTTTGTGGGGATCTGGAGTGGTTGATACTGTTAACCCATCACAAGGATACTGTGAGATGGCTGAAAGCAATTCACCAGCACGTATGTTTGTGGCTTGCTCTGGGTTGGAGGCCCCCCCACAAAGAGAACTGGTGCATTCCTATGTTTGTTTTGTCTTCCCATCACTTTCGGTGGGTTGGGTCGTCCAGATTAGCAGCTTTGAGTCATCTGTGGATGGTTTTGCGCAAAGGGAGCCTTTCTGAGGAAGGCACTCGCTTCCCCATCTCTGAGACCATATCCTCTCGTAGAGATGCCATTCCACCTAAGGTTGCCAGGTAGACCCTGCTAAAAAACTGGACACGCTTCTCTGGGGGGGGGGAGCATGGGGCTAGATGGGAGGAGG